GGGGAAGGGCCCCACACGTCAGAATGAAAATACTCAAGAACTGTCTTAGAACTATGAACGTCAGTTCCAAAAGCACGTCAAGTGTGTTTTCCAAATACACAGTAATCATAGAACTCAAGCTTGCAAGACCTGAAGCTAGATAATAAATTGTGTTTGTGTAAAATATTCATACCTTTTTCACTCATGTGGCCAAGACGAGCATGCCACAATCTAGTCTCATACTCCAGTGACGTCGTAGCATTGGCCTCACCAAGAATTGTAGATCCTTCCAAGATGTACATATTCTTCCGCTTGTGAGCTTTCATTATCACAGTGGAACCTCTCTCAACTGTGAGAATCTCATCAACAGCTTTTCAATGAAAGCCTCTCATGTCAACCTCCCCGAGTGAAATCAAATAATTACGCATATTGGGAATGTGTCTAACATTCGTCAATGTTAAAGTTTTCCCATCAAACATCTAAATCCTAATGGATCCAATACCCTTAATTTTAATGGAGTGATCATTTCCCATTAAGACTGAACCTTGAGATGCTGCGTAAGTTGTAAAAAATTCTCAGATAGAACACATGTGATAAGAGCAAGCGGAGTCTAAAACCCATTCATCTCTCCAGGTGAGAGAAGAGGTTCACAAGACATAGACTTCATCATTGTTGCTCACAACATTTGCAAAGGGATCAACATATTACTCTCTCTTCTCATGTGGCTTACTAAGGCAATCTTTTTTCATATAGCCCAGCTTGCCATACTTCCAACACTTCATCTCCTTCTTGTTACTTTCCCTTGACTTGGATCTATTTCGCGACTTGCTGACGCTAGTAGATCGCTTCTCTAATCTCCCACGAGTAACATAGAGAGCGGTAGAAGAAGAAGAAATTGTTGAAGAAGGAACCAACCTCTGTTGGATGTCGTCCGTCAACAAAGCTATCACTACCTCGTTGTATGTGATGCTCTCTTTGTCTCGATGAAGCAACACACGAAATAGAGTGTGATATGATGCTGGCAATGAACTTAAAAGCTGCAATGTCTTTTTCTCATCACTCAAATCCTCACCCAAATTCAAAAGATCTACCAACAAATTATTGAAAGCATCAATGTGGTCTTGGATCTTTGTACCTTCCACCATTTTGAAGCTCATCAGCTTTAACGATGTGAAAAGTCAATTTGACAACTCCTTCATGTGATACTTCGCTTGAAGCGCTTGAAACATAGTTGTCACAGTCTCTAACTCCTCCACTTATTTGAACACATTTGGCTTCAAGTAGAGAGTGACAATACTCACAGCTTGATCTTGGATCTCATTCCAATCCTCGTCATCAACATTCAGGGGTTTAGGCTTGAGAATCTTCTCCAAGCCCATTGCCTTGATCACATTCTTGACTTGTCGTTCACATAGGAGATAGTCGGTACGACCATCAAACCGTTCTCAACACTTAGCCCCAAGAAACGTCAAAAATTGAAAGTTCTCAGAATTGAAATTTGAGACAACTCACGCGTAGTCATAAGCCAACACACTAGAATGTGAAAAAGTTTGTCAAAATCAACTCAAAATAAAAAGTTATTAAACCTCGAGTTTAGGGGGGTAAAAACTTGAATCTAGACCCCCAAGAGAATCTTTCCTACCAAAATTTTACTCAAAGTCTATTTCCAAAACCGTCTTTCAGATTACGTTTTCAACTAGCCTAAGAACCAGCTGGTAAAATTTGAGCTCAAACGGATATCATTTGCATACCCTAATACACCAAAAATGCAAAAAAATCAACTCTCTGTTTGATTACTTTTTGACAGGATTCTTCATAGTTTCTCTATGGAGCTTGGTTGGATGTTTTGTCTTCCGACCCAGCTATTTTGGGTAATTTCCGACCCCCTATCTCGGATCCGCTTTCAATCTTGGAACCCTCTTAAATCTCTCCAAAACTACGAAACTGTGAAATGAAACTCACAGGAATTGACCTAAATCTTCAATCACTCGTAACTTTGCAACCTCTCATTAGAATTCAACAAACTTTAGTGAAGATTTGGAGAATTCGGCAATCAAAAATTTTGATTTTGGAAAAACGAAGCGGTTTATCTCACAGTAGATTGTAAGAGAGCTTTCCGCTTCAAGTTCCAAAAAATCTCTCTAATCACTCGATGAAACTTTTTACTTCTTTTATCAAAGTAAAATTGATGTCTTTGACTACTCTTCTATAGAGACTCATCCAATAATATCTCTCAAATTGCAAGTACAATATCCGACAGCGCTTTCGCGCCTCCCTGCTCTCCAAAAATGTGGAAATCAAAAATCAGCATGCATTGAACGACCTCTGATACCAATTGAAAGACCCCCCTCATTCAAATTGACCAACACGCACGACAGTCATAACACCGGATAACGTGGTTCACCTTTCACAGGCTACGTCCACGGGCAAGAGCAAAACTACACTAAAGCACGGATGATTACACGGATTTCATAGCCAAACGCTACTCCAACCTGTTCACTCTCTCGATACTATCCTGAATTGTACGCAGAGAGTCAACTTCTCTCTTCTATACTAGAAGAGATAAGGTGCACATAATACCTAACATAACCTAACCACAATTAACTTCCTAACCATGGTTACCACTAATTGGAGTTAATCCAAGATAGAGTTAAACAATCAGTAAGTTCGACATAAGACAAACATACGTGCTTGATTTTTATTCTTTATCCCTATCTTTAGAAAAAATTCGAATTGAAGAAAAGTACTTTAGAAACAACTGAAAAACTATTGGTTAAAAAATATATAAATTTGCACAATTACTCACAGGTGCAATACTTACACTGCTACTTTTAATTTTACTTCAAATTCTTCATAAGAAATTAAATTATCATCAAGGTTCCTTATTTAGAATTGACTCGTCTACATCATTGGTCATCTACCAAATGAAATCCTGGTGGTGGAAAAAAATATGACGGCTTGAACTCTCTTAGGCCGCTTGATTACGACAACACGACTACCTGTAAAGAACTTACTTTTTGTTTAGGAGTTAGGTTTTTTGCAAATCTATTTGGACCATGACAGTATACTGGATTTTCTTGCTTAGGTTAACTTCTTAACGTTCTTCATGCTTGGTACGAAGATTGGTATACTGCATGTTAATTAAGCTTGTTCAAGCCTCAAATACGAGTCATAGCACGACTAGAGTTACGGTTTCAAGCCTACACAAGGTCAAATTCCCTTCTGTAGAAAGAGTTTGCGCGCTTTACACTTCTTCTCCCTTTGGTCAGTGAAGGGACGTTTTGACTCGATCTCTTGCAAACGAGACCAGAGGAAATCGGTTGATATTTTACGACAAGGCTCTAACGTACTTCTGTCATGCAGTCTTAGTCATCAGCGTTCCGTTTCTCGAGAGTCAGTGGCCGTTAAGATAACAATTCATTGACCAAGCTTTTGATATTCAACATTCCAGTCAGTGCCAGACATCATATCTTTCCTGTATGTCCATTGGAAACTTGGCTCATCCGAAGACCATCCGTTGTTCTAACTTAGCTCCAATTTGTACCCCGAGGTATGAACATTCTTGCTTTACTCTAAGTTGTCATTCTTAGGTAGTTGACAAGAAAGTATGTCTTATATATGATAGACTGATACGTCTGGATGACTTTTATGCTTGAATCATGTGTTTTCTGCCTCAAAAACTCGCTCTATGTACATTCGTGTCTGATCAGAGGAACCTCAAAATTTCTCTGGAGCTCTGATTTATCCCTGTGAGTTGTCATTCTTGCCTTAGTCTTGTGTATCAACTTTTCTAGTTGATACAAACCAATGGTTCGGGTCAAATCTTCCAAGCAAACGGCAAGTGCATGGAAAAGTTGTTTCTCTATGAGTTTCCTACAGAAATAAAGTGTGCTCATGTCGAACCTCCTCTCGTTTGCTCGTAACAGTCGAATCCGGCTATGCTTCAGTGCCTGGCGACGATTGACAGTAGTTGTGGTACTGGAGCAGGAATCTGAAGTTTCTTAACCACTTTTATTTAAATAAAAGTATTTTACTCCCAGGAGGTGTTGTATAGGGTTTAGGGATCCGTGCGAGATTTGATAGCAAAAGTTTTCTTTGGGAAGTCCTCGTTGTAACCTACTTTGGACAGCTTGATAGGAGCTTTCTCTTTGTCGACAATCGAATTTTCCTCGACAGTTTACAATTCTCTTAGGCTATCACTTCCAGCCTGCAAATCTCCGCCTTTTGCACCCATTTGTAGGAAACTGTGGATTGTGAACTAGTATGCGAAATCCTTCTGTGCACGCCTTAGAAAACGGAGGTTACAAAGGAACAACATGTGTCTCAAATGAGTGACATGAGGAAAGAAAAACATTTCCAGTAACTGCCCGCAGGCACGTAATGCGAAGACAAAAGGCCCCGGACTATTACTGCATAAACAAATGTAGCTCTCTATCACCTTTGTTAAACATTCAAGGCCAAGGGTTCAATACAATAGTCAGGGTATATCTTACATTGCGCCACAACTCATTATTAATTCTAATACTGGAGTAAATCATACTTCATACCACCACTCTCATAAACTCTAAAAAAAATTGTTGGACTTTTCACCCAAATTACATTTATCCTGCTAAGTAGGGAGTTTCATAGAAGTTGTCTTCATTTAAAGAATATATTTAATACTAAAAATTAGGAAACTTCACTAGAATATCTAAAATCTACTTACTCACTCTAAATGTGAGGTTTAAATTTGGAATATAGTAAACATGACTAGTATAGAACAATCTAACCTGTCAAACGTGTATTACTTGTCATTGTTCTATCAACTTGGTATCACCAAGTAATATCCCCTTTAACATTATCTTCTAGAAATTATCACAATTTCCAGCAACTAAAGCACTTTCTACATTTTTAAAATGCTAGTAAATCTACAAATTGAACCATGACAATCCCACTTTATAGTTGGCTCTGTTCACTAGAGGGTCTTGGAAGGGATCAAGGAGCAACAGCGCTATCTGGAGGGAAAGCTGCTTAGACACCAACTACTGCATGCCATTGACGTAGTTCTGACCCAGATGTGGTTCGACTTCATCGACGGTGAGGTTCTTCGACCACGGTACCAGACGAGTTGAATTAACCCCGGGGCCGTTGATCTCGTAAAGTCCGAAATACGCTGTGTTGCACAAACAAACGACGAATGCGTCGCGAGAAAATATTGTCGTTAAAACAAATCGGAATCTATTGAATTCGATAAAATCGAAGATGTTTGGCGGAGTTGGACATTTATCTCCTCCTCTCTGGATCTCCAACGTCGCTTAACCCTTCCGGGTTGATGGCGTTCTCGAATAGCTATTCGCGAAGATGATAAAGGCGTACGGTGACCAGGCTCATCCGAGATCCACCGATCTTTCCACATTCACGTAGCATCCGATGAACACGAACTCCGGTTCTTCATCGGACGATTGATTCTGCTGCGCAGCTACAGCACCGAACTTCTTCGCGATGATCGACAGCGTGCAAGCCTGACACAGCACGATTTCATATGAGACGTTCGCATTTGGAAATAACGTGAGAATTTGATGGAAGCAGATTTGAATTGCGAATTGCATAGGAGAAATCACACCTGACACAAGGTCCGGCCATTTCCGAAGATGAAGTAGATCGATCCCTGAATCAAGCACTAGTAGTAATAACTTTCGACGTTTTCAGTCATAGAGAGTGTCCTGGTCACCCAGATAAGTGCCGCAATAAGAAACGCCATGGCTTGCGAAATATCGGCTCCCGGATTCGGGGCAGGAGCAGAATTCTAGAAGATTATACTACGAATCATCCACCGATGATCCGAATAAACCGAGACTAATGGCTTTGCATCGCTGCGAAGAGTGCCAATTTTTGGTAAGGATCGAACTCATCATCCGGTTTCATTCTCGTGGCCGCTGTCGCGTTCCACGCTATAATTGTCCGCTTCTGGTCTTCATCACGAAACGTAATGAATTGCTTGTTGCGGGGAACCACCACCTTCTCTCTGCGTGATAAACTCATGCAGTCGTCAGATTCGACGGACAAATTCGCTTTCGCAGAAAGCGAACTGACTGCAGACTGCTACCCTCGCCATAGTGGCAGCGATTGCACGTAAGGAAAATGGATTCGCATCTGCAAACAGCTCAGCGGATTTACCTCTATGCGCCAGCGTAGATTCTGGTCACGACGCGGTTCGAATTGCCCTTCGGGACGAAATCCATTTCTTCCTGGATAGTGGTGAAGTTGCCGTTCCCATCCTGATTCATGTTCAGAAACATAATTTAGCCGGTGACAGGCTTGGGCGGATGGAGCTCCCACCTATCGAATGCCATGCTCGGAGCCGATTCTGGAGCGCTGGTAGGCTTTCTACGCGCAAGAGATGACTGCACACCTGCCTCGTCTCTCTCGCTGCTCATCGATTTCGCTGCAGGGATATTTCTCGACTGATGATCGGGGTAATAGTCTGAACACTAGAGGTACGCCTGGAACGCCTGCTGAACTGAAATTCTTGCCTCCTGAGCTCGTACCTCCAATTTCGATGCGAATTGCTCCATAGAACCCGGCCCTTCGTGCGCGACGAAGCTCTTTTCGAAATTTCGATAATTGAAAATCGAAAATTCCGGAAATCCCATTATTCCTCCCTCGGGGATCCCGATAATTCCGCTTCCACAGCTTCCGCCGCGCCGGAGCTGCAAACGTGAAGGCCTCAGACCCACCATCCCCACTCGCGGACTCGACATTCGCGACCTTGAAAATCGGTGAAACCGTCGACCTCGGGCTCAACTTCGGCACGTGAAGATCTGCCTCGCCATTCTGAAAATCAACGTGTGCATGGAATGCCGCATGCGCATTGAATATCCTACGCACATGAAACACCAGGAGCAGAGAGCGAGAACGGGAGATGGCAGAAAACAAAGAGCAAGATCCATTCTCCGATCTCAGCTCGAGTCTGGAGCGAGAGAAGGGGAAATGCCGAAGTGAAAACCACGAAGTGACGACGCTAATTTTAATCCTCTCACCGTCCCTCCGTCGGAGACCGGTCGAGGAGGGGGAGGAGGACGAGGAGCAGCTCTGCTCATGAGCGATCAGAGCTGGACTCATTAGCGGCATCTGCACCTGAACTTGAGAACCGCTTACAAACGACAAGCGAAAAACGAATTAACCTCATTACGCTTTGTTCAAAGCTCCTATCTTTCAGCTGCCAACGATTTTCCGGTCGCCTCCTGTAAATTCGTTTCCTGTCTGCGGATTGCACTGTAATCCTGCCAGATGCCGCAGTAGCTGCGGCCGCTCTCGGAGTGCTTCGGTCTTCAAACCGTAATTACGACCGTTTGATGACGAAATAACAAAACGTAACGGGCAGACTTCAAGCTTGAACAATCATAGGGGTCTCTTGGTCCTCTTCTTTCACAGTTCTCCGAAGGAAAGGCCAGCGGAAGGATGCAAGTAATCGAGAGGATCCCAACATTGTCTTGAGACCGACGCCGCGACGACTCTTTCACGATCACGGACAGTGTCGTAGCCTGATCGAAGCACTCATTGTATATTACAGAGTACTGAACATCGATGAATTGATGAGGTTGGACGCATGCCGTAGCTGCGATGCCTCCGGCGCCAGGTTGTGAGTACTCCTCGGGCTCCAAGCTGCAGCTTCACTGTCCCAGCTCACAACGGTAGCTCGGTGCTCGTCTGTACTCCTCCGTGGACGTCCGTCCACATGGCTGCAGCTGCTGGGCTCTGTACTCTTGATGCTCACGGTCTCCTTAACAGCGTGTAGATTCCTCCATACCCGATACTAATTCGCCACAGCAAACACGCACAGCAGCTGACAGAACTGTCAGAAGACACGAACATACATCGTTTTAGTTCCAACATCATAAGAGAAAAGTTTCTCCAAAGGCTACTTCAAAGATCCACAAAACTCGGAGGCAGTTCAGGAACAAGTACCGCTTGATCCGCTAGAGGGTACGCACGGAGGCTAAATTGCATGCATATCCTTTCAGGCCTCAGTATGATTGAGGTACTTATTACCGTGCCGAATGCGGTCAAAGAGATTCCGTGTTAGCGATCGACGTCAGAGGACAATTCTAGACGTCCTCCGACGACAGTACACAATCGACGATCCATTTGTCTCGACAGGTCGACCTTACCTTGTGCTGTACATGTGTCCAGGACCACTTCCCGGACACATGTACTGCCAGGTTGCTCACGGAACGTGGTCCCGTGGGCAACTTGGCAGGTGACGGCACTCATAGCATTACCTGTGCCCACCCATCCTATTCAAATTACGCCAATTCTGGGTTGGATCTTGACAAATACTTCCCTTAGCATTAATTGTGCCCCAACCATGGACAAATAATCGTCACCTGAAACCCTTGGGCATGGGTACGGGCACCCAATGCTCTGGTCGAGATCACCTGACGCAAGAGGAAGTTTGAACGATAGCACTTGGAAGAGCCAGTTCGTAGTCCAATTGACATAAATGGACGACGCAAAGACCAATGATAGTCACCGTACTGCAGATAACTAGAGCCTCCATGTCGTCGGTACCTGCCCACGATGTGAACCTGGTTGACACTGTGTTGCTGAACGCCGTGTATAGACAAAATCCGTGTAACTGGATAGAGGTCCACTGTTGGACCACTTGACATACACAAATGCCAAATGCCACCTTCATCTTCGCTCAAATTTAGTTAAGAGTTAAGTGATAATCGTTGTACGATCATATGTAGGTATTGACTTCATAAAACAAACAGTAGTATAGATTAATCACAATATTAGATTAAATATTTGAAAAATATTAAACTTTGAAATCAGCTCCTAAACATAAGAAAGTGAGACAAATCGAATGAAAGATTAGGGGGAATTTCAAGGAAAATGAATCATTACACAAGGGTATTAACCTGTATGAAATGAAACAATAAAAAAAAACTCTGCTTAATTCTCCAAAAAAAACCACTCATAAAAATTTTACAAATTTTTTGAAATTTGTGATTATATCAAAATTAAAAATATATTTCTTAGACAGAGCTAATCATTGTACATTCTAAACTGAGAAAAACTTTATTTAAATTTTTAATCAACTACATTTCAGAAAAACTCCACAAAAATGTAAATCGAAAAAGATGATCTCCATGATTTATGAAATATAGATCAAATCTCAGAAAAAATGAATTAGATTTATATCAAAATTTTATAAAGCTGAAATATGAAAGAAATGATAAATACAAATTGTCAGATAGTATAATATATTATATCTAAAAAAATTTAATTTTATGAAAATTTGAACATAACGATAATGGATTTCATTTTCAATGTTTTATGTTTTTAGAGAATGAAATTTGATAATTAGAATACATTATCATAATAGTTTGATATATGTTACTAGAAATATTCTAAAAATCGATCAAAATGATTTTTGAAAATCATTTTCTTTTTCTTTTTATGTCATTTGATTCAAAAAATATTGTAAAAAGTATCAAATTTAGGTTCATCAAAATTCATTAGACAACTATTTTATACTCATAAAATTAAAATTATATGTATAAAAATATATTTTAACGAAGATTCTACATTGATTTTCATAGATTAGATTTTAAAATTGATGAAGTTCATTATCTTGCGTTGAACAAAAATATTTTAATCAAATTTCAAATGACTTTTAAGAAAAAAATTATACATCAACTTAGATATTGTAAAAAAATATTTCGTGTCAAATTTTGAATTAATATAGAAGATAATATATTAAAATCCATTTATAAATATATTGAAAGAGAAATTATGACGTACATAATGATTTGATACTAGTCAATTCATCAAAATTGATCATGATGTCATAATGAATAAAATATTTCAATAATTATTATTGGCATAGATTTTTTTATTCAAATTAATTATTTTTTTGTTATCAAGTCCAATTATCGGTATTTTAAAAATTCAACTTTGTGGCGACAATAAAAAATTAAGAATTATTTGAAAGATCAAAAAAATGGTTTGGCAGATCTGTCGTAAACACTCATGAATTGAAGATCTCATAATATATTTTTCAAATTACAAGTTCAATTATGTATAATGAATTTTAATATTGTAACATGCAGATTTTCTATGAAGAGTACAAGAAACAAATCTTGGGTGTTTCATGCAAATTTTTTTGATGATTTAGAAAACATCCAGTTGTTGAACTTATCAAAATTATTAAAAAAATCGATTATCAAACCATTAGGCATTAATTATTTAGACAATTTGAAACTTACATTATATATATATATATATATATACATACATACATACATAATTAAAAAAAAGTCATATAAGCAAAAATATATGTTTCAGTCAAAACAAATAATAAATCTAAATTTTTTATCATTTTATTAATTATGATGATTAATTATGAAAGTAAAAAATTAATGTAAAATCGTGAAATATTGAAATAGTTTTTTGGACTAATAATAATACATTATTACATAAATCAATTTGGATAATAATTTAAATCTTATGTGATGTAATTATGATCATTCAAACCTATGTATATATTTATGCCAAGTACGTTCAATAAAAAAATAAAAAATCTGTATCACTTCAATTATAATCAAATGATAAATAAAATGATAGGTTAACTATGTTTATTATTTCATGTATATATATCAAGTATGCTAAATAAAAATTAGCAATATCAACAACCTTTTACTCTTCTTTATCAAAGTTATGAGTTATTGACAAAAAAGTACGCAACATAAGTATATATATATATATATATATATATATACATACATACATACATTATACCTCATGAATGACTCATAAATACCATGTGAAAATTTACATCTTTATTTTATTTCAAAAAAAATTTAAAAAATCATGTTAAACATCACTTGATCTATTAGTTTTAGTGTTATATTATTTTTTGAATTGTAAGATATATTAAATCATATTATTTTTATAAAAAAAGTCAAGAAAAAAAACATAATTATTTTCACAAATTTGGGTATATATGTTTTTAATTTAAACATATTATATATTCATATTCAATGTAATAGTATTAATTTTGTTTGTTTATACTTAACCGATGATTTGATATTGATAAATTATCCGTAAAATTTTTTATATTTTCTTTATATTTACTTATCAAATTATTTACTAGAGATATTTACTTGATGTTATTTCATCGTAACCTAAATTGTTTGATAATATCATCAAATTTTACCGCATTGGATTGCATCAACGGCACACCGTTACAAACTTCTGAAAGATGTTTTGTGCTTTATCGTATACAAGCTTTACTAGACCTCTCCGATGGCAAAACGATGAATTGTGACAAACATTGTCACAAGTGCACATAGGTTTTGGGTTTTTAGTTGTAGTAGATTTGACTTGGTAACCAACTATGAACTTGTGACATCTTTGGAGGAAATTCACAAGGAGAAGCGGAGGACTTGTGAATTCAAATGTCAGGTTATTTTACAAATTTGGGTGCAATGAGGAAGTCACAGACAAAGAAGGGTCCGGGTCCAAATGCACTGAGTGTAGATTTGAACGATTCAATGATGGACCACAAGGATAAACTAGCTGTGGCAGTTCCATTGCGTGCATTGTCTGTAAATACTAGAACATAGGTGACGTGAACCGTCGGTGGGATTCCATCTGGTAAAATGAAACTTGAAGAGTCCGAACAAATAGTTTACGTTCCAATGGTATTTCATAAAGTAAATAACTCTTCTGACTACATTGTCTAAAGTTTACATATTAAAAATATAATATATATATATATATATATATATATATATGTAAGAAAACACATTCAAGAATGTATGTAATATATGAATGTTCTTTCATGCAAGAACATTCATCGGAGAAACTTTGAAGTTTTGTAAAATACTTGGATCCGAACCAATGTTTATTCTGTAACATACCAAACAAGCTCCTCGACTTTGCGTGTTTATTCAAGCCAAGGAAATAAACGGTACTCTCTTTATACTTTGAGACATCCGTCAATACCACGCCTACGCTGGTAGTTTATGGACTTCTCCTTCTTGGAGATTTCAACAAAGTTGTGCAGCTATTCCTTGAGTGATGATGTCGCTCAACGAAGCTCTTTCCTTGCGGTAGCCATATTTTGCATTAGAGTGTCAACTTGAGCTGAAAATTTGTGGAATTGATGAATTAAATTGGGCGCACAAGCTTGCAAAGTTTGACCGACAACATAGCCGGTTTGAAGAAGTTCTCAAATTGGGAGCTTTGAGTTTAAGTTGTGGAGTATAGATCTTGCGGTAACCATAACTTCAGACTGGAGTGTCAACTAGAGCTGAAATTTCGTGAATTTGTTGAATAATGCCGAGTCCACATGCGTGCAAAGTTTCAGACACAACGGAGACGTTTTGAAGAACTTATCAAATTTGAAGCTTTGAGTTTAGATTGTGGACGTTGGATCTTGTAGTAGCCATAACTTCAAGATGTAGTTTCATTTAGTAGTGCTGAAATATTGTGAGTTCAAGAAAGTTAGCAAAGCAAACTAGTTTGCAAATTTTCAATCACAAAGAATTGTAAAACTTTGCAAAGTTGGATACATGATTACTTCCCTAGAAAACATTCTTAATTTTATGTAAATAATTTCAAAGAATTGAAAGAGCTTTGCAAAAAATTTGAGGTACAAAATGCTAACTTGATTGCTGTAGATATTCAAATTTGGAAGTTGAAGGTATCACAAAAAAGTTTTGAGAAGATCATTGTTGACATTTCTGGATCTATTGAGTACATCAAGAGAAAGTTGGTTCTCAAGCTTCAACTTCTGCTACTGTTAAATTGCATGCAATGGTTGAAAGTCTAGAGGTGAAAATAACGTGTTAGGTTGAAGGTAACAAGTCTGCTCATATTTTTTTTTGTCAAGAGCAAGAAATTGAAAAGTCAAATCAATTTGCTTGTAGAAAGAATGTTAAGATTTCTAGTCTAGATGAATCTGAGAATGAAAAGATGAAGAGTGTTGTCAATAAGTTCTTGACTGAAACACTTCTTGTTCCTAATCCGGATTTGGCTCCAGCTTTAGGCTTTTGTATTGGAAACAGAGGGGCCCAACCTTGTGTCATTATTGTTAAGTTTGTTGATCAAGTTCAACGTGATACTGCTATAACTAATAAGGTCATTATCAAGGGACGGAGGATTTGGTTAGATCCTCATTTTACACCTTTACAAGTTGAAACAAGGAGTAAGTAGCTTACAAAAGTCAAAGAAGCTCAAGCAGTAGGTTTTGTTGTTTATCTGCGTGATAGTCAAGCTATTATTACTTAGATTAGAAGTCGATCATCAACCTAGCAATCCAAGCAATTGACAATTTTGACGTGAAACATAAGAACCTATTTACAGCAAAGTATGTGAGTGCACATCCAATTTGGAAGATGGCGGACATCATCAACATTGTGGAGATTTGGAAACATGAAAGTAATGCTATTGATAAGATCAAAGGAGTTACTCTGGTGGGGTCTACTTGGAAACATAGAAATTGACAAATAGGAAGAGGCTTTGGAGTCATAGCTACATTCATCAGATCTAAATTTCTTCCTATGATACATTTGAAAAGTCAAGATATTGAGAATCAATATTATTGGCTTCGTCTTGGAGTGATTGGAGTATCTTACAGTTATTTGACAATTTGTTACTTTGCACAATTATTATGCAAATCTATTCCACAAGCACTTGCAATCAATCAAAGTCATTCATTTCATTGGTTTATAGGAGATGTTCTCAAATATCAAGACATATGTGAAATTTTTCTTGTTGGAAACTTCAATGCTTGCATACGTTTTGATTAATTTACATAATTTGGTGATTCCATGTCTTCTCCTTCTATTGAAAAAACTAATGATGATTTGTGGTCTAGAATCTCTTATGATACTTTTACAAATGACTAAGTAGTTATTGAATTTTGGAACCACATGTAATCTAAAAATTCTCAATGATGTTTTTTTCTTTCCTAACTCTCATTTCAATACATGTTTTTACTCTTCTGGCGTTAGCACACAAGATAATCACTACTATTGATTATCTTGTGTGTTCTGCCACTAATTGTTCATTTATCTCCACATTTGATATTCTAGAATCTCAACAAGAATCAGATCATACAACTTTTTTATTTAATTATATGTTGTCAAAATCTATTTCTCTCTCTACAAATCATTATGTTTCTACTTTCCCCAAGTTTTGTTTGGATCATAGTAAAAAGTAACTATATAGTCAATATTTACAAGACCTCTTGACTCATACTACTTAGAGATTTGATCCACATACATCTAGTTTGCAACTAACCGAGTTGCTCGAAAACTCTGCTTATAAATTCTTTTTGAGACATAAGAACCGGAGAACTAGAGGTTTTCCTTGCAATGGATGGTTTGACTTTGATTGCAAGAAAGCAAGGACGACATCAGTTGATAAATCTTTGGATCTTCACAATCAGCTTATTATAACAAGACTTTACAAAGATTTGATGAAGTCTAAGAAACAAGTTTTTGAAGCGGAAGCAAGAGTGCTTGACAAAGGAGTTATTGGAGAATCCCAAATCTTTTTGAAGACGGTTGGTAGTACAATCTTTCAAACCTAATCTTGATCCCAAGTCTTTGGTTTCTTTTGCTATAAAGCTTTATTTCTTTCCCAATGTTGCATAAATGGTACGTTGTGAAGAAAAACTTGGCTTATTTTCTGAAGTTGAAGTGATGATTCAACTCAAAAAATTGGCAAATGATATATGTGAGGATTTGGATGGTTTTTCTATTGAACTTCTCAAGTGGGGAGAAGATGCTATTAAACCTATTCTCACTTAAGTGTTAGAGAATGCTGCTCTTTATGATTTTCCTTCAACTTGGTCGTTACAAAACATTGTTCCTATTCACAAATTTGAGAGCAAGAATTTGGTGTCAAACTATCATGGTGGGTAATTTTTTTTTCAAGTTATTTGACAAATAGATGGAGTCAAAGTTGAGTACATGGGTTGAATCTTGTAACAAGAGAGCTCGCTTTCAAGCTGGTTTTTGTTCTACATTCAACACTATAGAGCATATCTTTGTTTTGCGTGTTTTATGAGAAAAGTCCAAAAGCAATGAAATAGTTTTGTTTTGTGCCTTCATCGATTTCAAGAAAGTTTTTGACATAGTTTATTGTGAACTTTTATGGAAAAAATTGCAATCCATTGGAATATCATATGATCTCTTAGTAGTTGTGGCCACATTATACCACTATGTTTGAATCAAGATCAACACTTCTCAAACCAAAGAGATTTTGAATACCTTTGGAATTATTCAAGGTTGTACTCTCTTTTACTCTATTTGGAGTTTTCATAGATGATATAGAAATGTAATTAGAGTATTGTGAAAGTGAAGGGATCAAATTTGGAGACTTTGCCATCGAAGCTCTTTTGTATGGAGATGATATCATATTACTAGCACGTGATGCCATTAGTTTACAAAAAGATCTGAACATTTTGGCTAGCTTTTGTACTCACATTAGATGGAGTTCAATTTGGAGAACTCAAGAGTCATTCTTGTAGACATTAGATCCAAGTTTTATTTCTTTTATAAAGTATGAGAGTTGGAACAAGTGAGGAGTTATAAATATTTAGTCATTGATTTCTGCCACTATTATAGTTGAATATTTTGTGTACAAAAGAGAGTAGAAGCTAGTTTCAAAACTCTATATTCATTGCTAAATAGATGTAGAGTTTTTCATCTAGTGTCTTGAAGTTTTCAAAAATTCTTATTCAAGAATTTAATGTTTCCAGTTATTTTATATGGAACACAAGTGTAGGGTTCTGGTTGTAAGAAGAGAGATTGGCGGCGTTTAGAAAGAGTGCAAAAGATATTCTTACAAGAAGAATTGGATATGAGAATCCAAATTTCATTTGCTATTCTTCTTGCAAATATCAGGTCAACTAACTCTTGAGGCTGAAGCTCTTTTCTTGACTATCATTTATGTCAGAAAAGTGAGATCTCTTGATGCTTCTCAATTTACTCTTGAAGTTTTGCGTCACATTTACCAAAGGATGATTTGCAAATGTGATGACTTGGTCTTTGAGGTGGAATGTGATAGAACTCAATTGGAATTTGCAGTTTTTTTTTTTTTTTTGAGGAGATGAGGCATTAAAATGAAATTTTACCACCTTCATGTAAATCCTATGTTTATTTACTATGAACAATGATACATATTTGCAGAGATCTTTACATTTTTTTATCATATTATTGTTGTTTCACATAGAAAAATATCTCGTAATTTTAATATTGAATAAAAACGTTGGTTTGACATTGATAGAAATGAATATATTTGTTGATGTTTATTTATATTAGATGCACAAGAAATGAATATACTTGGTGAGAAAGATGTGTTTGTTGCTTATATAATATATGTAAAGGTTAAAATGTATTTCAACGTTTTTGTTGAAAAGTTTTATTGTACACTACATTTAGGGCCTTATGGCATTATAACATCCCTTGTTCAGATGCTCTAGCTAGGGGTTCTTTTGGTTCTCTCAGTTGTTTGAATTGTGTTTTCTAGCATTTTGATGAGCTTCATCTATTTACCATTTCCCATGTGTTTCCTTGGGGCCTTGAGGATTGGACAAGTTTGTCAATAGTTCCTCTGCTCCATGTTCACTTATCAGAATCGAGAAACAATTTCTCTAGAAAAATCAGTTGCGTGTAAGGGTGGAGCGAAGGCACGATACGAATGCAAGAAAGTATCAGAGAACACCATTTATGAAACCTTGTGAATGAGATGGCCGAAGGCAGAAAAATTATTCATTAAGATGATCGTCATAGAAGTCGTTGATTCATGATCCAACACCAGAGAAACAACATGCGATCAGACCTGATGCGCAAAAGATTAGTGTTGGCACCAGTCCATGAGACTTCCAGCAAAGAAGCGTGGTGATAATCTTGAATGCCACAGCTTCCAACCTCTTCGTACGCCAGTTGTTCGCTCTAGAGCTATCTTCCCGCGTTCTACTCATTCTTTCCAGGCCTTGTCTCTGGACACGGCTGGAGCCTTCATCCAGATATCTATAAACTGGAGAAGATAGAAGTGAATGGTTAGAGATAAGGATCATATGGAATTGCATCCAGGGGAGCCACCGCATTCAGGCGATGTTCAAGCATTGCGAGCTGTGCGTAGAACTCTCCACAGTATCTTGGCTGCAACAAAGAATGCATATGGTAGAGGTGCGTGCCACAACAGGTGGGACCCCTATTCCACAATAGTAACCTCTGCCACACAATCCCCGTCAAAATCTAAGGGGCTCAACCGAGCATCCTCCTCCGAGTTTTACTTGTGAGATACGTGACGGATCCTATCAAACTTCGGATGAACGTACAGTACTCAAACGGAACTCAAATTCCATTCCGCACATATCCTCCCCTACAATACTAACTTGAGTTTTCTCGTAAATAGGTTGAAAGTTATAAGAAGCTAACCTTCCTAGCTAAGACTTCTATAAACAGCAGCACCTTCTTACCATGTCAAAAATAAGGAAGAGATAGCTGCTTCCGCTCGGACAATCTTGCCTTGGAAACCTTTATCTCGAAACCTTGTAACTCTGGATCAAAAAAGGAAGAGAAAATCAGCCACGACACTGAAAAGCAGGTACATTTGATTCCGAGAAACGGCTATTGGCTTCTATTTATGGTGACAAAAATGAACGACTGGATCTGATGGCCCCGAAAGGCATAACAGGACCATGGGGCACCAAACACAGTAAACGAGATAGAAACTGTCAATCTACGTCTCTACTCTAACCAGATAGATGCAATATATAATAACGTTCCTCCAGAACCTAGTAGCTTGAAGACGGTGTAGGTACGGTGAAGATCTAAAACTCTTCCAGAGAGGCTTCAATCAGAGAAGAACAGTCTAATAGAAGATTCCTTCACAGGCTAATATACAAGCGGGCGAGGTTTGCATTCTTTATCGTTTCTTTCGAATTTACAATTCTATTTACTTCCAGATCAAGTCGACCCGTAAATCGCTGCCATGATATATCTGCATTTCTTGGCACATGGAAGCAGATAATTACCTTCACTTTCTTCAGTAGGTCCTTGGCTTCAGCATTGGTCTTGAAATGCTCCCTTACAGGCTGCACGATGAACAAAACCAACGTCAGAGTTAAGCACTAGTTCTGAAGAAGAATCGTATTTTAGATCCAAGATAAATTCAGAATATACAGGGTAACTTGTATCACATTTAAGAAGATACCTCGAGTATTCTGTTTATTGCCTTAATCAAGGCAACCTTCAAATCTCCAGGATGAAGTGCACCACTTGTATAATCTTCCTTCAGCTCCTCAGCTGTTTTGTAAGTCCTGCGTGCACGCAACTGTTTCGTTAGATCCACTTTGGGACAAACTATGGAGCTACTGCGATTAAATATTTTTCGCTTGTGTTCACATGATAACAGTCGATCGTCAAAAGATTTGGCGATAAACTGATAACAGATTTTCAGGAGACGTTCGTCGAAGGCCTACAAGTGTAAAAAACAATGTGCAGACTACAACCTGTGCCCATTGATACATACCTGCCTAAAAGCACAGGTCTGGAATGAACTAACCTATAAAATTGGATAAGTTACGAGCAAAGACAGTGGTTTTCCTACTGTTTACTCGCTAAACCTATCAGATACTCACTTGGCCCCACCATGCTCCTCTTTCCGGTCTACAACAAACTCGTTGAAGTACGGAAGTACGATGTAGATCGTGTACTCAATAAGGGGGTTCCCATCCGTAATCAAAGCAGGACACCAGGCCTTGTTGATCTTCGACTTCACTTCAGACTGGAGAAACAAGAAAAAGCTCATTACATCCTCGACCCTTCTTTCAAGTGTAAGTTGAAATGAAAGACGATATCACAGATCTAAGTGCCATCAGAGCTCCACACGCGAGCTTTTTACTTGGAGTAATTTATACGTCAGTCGTAACCAGATAAATTATAACAGTTGTTTTCATGCACATAGCGTTATCATCTATGGTTCTGTAGTTTCCTGAGGATCAATCACAACTGAATATTGAGAGCCTTGCCTCTTCGTCCTCCATGAATATGGCCGAATCTGTCATACTCTTCGACATCTTCTCTTGACCCTTTAGGAGGCCAGGCAACATGTCTGGAAGACGTTAAGGACGACTCAACACATAGTGTCGTATTCTCACCACCTTTCTGGGTACACCATAATACAACAATGTTTTTGTACCAGGCGTATGCAGTTAAGTGGCACATATCAACCACAGATGCTTAGCGTATAAAAACATCAATTCCAAAGCTCAGACTCAAACTGAGTACGATGAGCTATAAGCTGGAGTAAACGGTTGAGGATACGGTGTGATAGAATGATTGGCTTCATCTTTCGCTTGATATCATTACAGTATTCACGGGCCAAAACATTTACTTTGCGCTGATCCATTCCCAGTTGACAGATATCAGCCTGCAAGACAACCAACAGACAATAGTGCACCCTCGCTTGTCATAAACCTGACTCTGCCAAAATTAAACTACAGACAAATCTTCCCCCTGTTTCTTGCAATCTTTTCGTCTATTGCTTCAGATATTAACAGACATGTATGTCTAGACATGCGTCGACTTTTGGAATGCATGTATGGATGTCGAAGTCAACCTTTAAGAAAAATATGTCCGCGCACTGCATACAGGGGTAGAATATCTGGGCAGCAGTCAGCTCATCCTCGTCGTTTCGTCCCATAATTTGAGAGCACCTGGATGTGGAGGTTTGGCGATCGAATCGCACGAATCATTCAGTAAGCACCAACGACACACAAAATGACACGTCCTCAAGGTATGTATCATATAGAAGAATTAAAACTGGAAGTAATAGCTTATAGTTTGCTACATGGCTATTACCTTTTGATGCGGGAGAGGTTATTGCGGCGAGCAATATCCATAACGAGAGGCCAGTACTCATCCGGCCGAGCGTTGATTTCCTCAGAAGTCCACAAGATCTGTACTCTGTCCATATTCATGCCAACGGCCTTCCAAATCTCGATCATGTAGCGTCCAACAGTCTGGATCTTTTTCAAGTCTCCCCCCATCTTGTTGTTGAGCTGAGCGAACCAATCGGCAACCCAGAACTTGAAAATGCACCCGGCTTTGGTAAGTTTGTTGACGTTAATTACCTTCATCACTCCCTGTAGACGAGATAGCAAGAGAAATTCATTTCAGTTTTGAGGACGGCAGAAGAGGTAAGTAACACATCGATGAGAGGTAGACTACAAACTACCAACTTTAAGTAATTGTAATTATCAAGTGAGTATTTACGTCGCTCCAGCTTTGGAAAAGAGTCATAGCAAATATGACTATTAGATGGTAACGTACAAGTTCGTCTTACATGAAAAACGAAGGTAAACTGCAAGTTCATTTAAAGCTCACATGTCACTCAACGAAAGTCTCATATAATTCGCACTTGGGAAGCTCGCAGGTTCACTCCCAATATGAGGACCGTAGGCACAATCTTAGCTTAAAGCTTGAACTCTTTAAGGAATTTCGGTTACCAGATGGACAGAGAGGTGTACATGAAGTTCGACTAAGAAGATATAATCTATCCTCCGGTGGTTTTCTCTTCATTCGGCCCGCCGATAACTTTTAATTCCCCAATATTCCAACACTAACATCAATATTCTCCGCTCTAATTATACAAAAACTCACTCTTCGCCCAGATATTACTGCTAAACTTTTTATTTAGTTCCTGAAGATATAAAGCTAAGGGATACTCTGCGTTAATTGCTTCAGAAAATAAAACCAATTATGAACTCCCAGTCATTTATTATCAATCGGTGATATGAATTTCAGGACTCTCAGTCATTTGGATCTCGAGAATTACGAGATAAATTTCAACGGGAGTGAAGAATTCAAATACTGATCCAGGACACATGGATTTCTAGCTTTGAGTCGGATCGACATGGAGGATGTGAAATGTGCATCAGGGACAAGAGCGCGACATGTAGGTATGTACCTGAGCAATGTGCATTCTCCCGGAAGGTTCAAATCCATCATAAGCCACCGGATCTTTTTTCTTCTCAAGGAGATTCCGGAGCTCCTCCTCTTGAATACACTCCTCACCGATACTACGCACCAACGCGTACTTTTCATCCAAAGTCATCCTGTATGCGACTAGCGGCATTCAGTCGAACGTTTCAAACTTGCAACAGTGAAATTCCATATGGCAGAAGAGGTCCACGCAGCTGATTTCAGCTCATAATCCAAAGAAAAACCAGAGGTGAGACGTGCCAGAAACATTCCAAACACATTGAACGAGACCGAGTCACGGAAACACATTGGCAGAAAAAAGTCGGATTTCACGAACTTGGAAAAATGATCGTCCGGGACGTCGTCAGCTTGGGAGGAAGAAGGTGCGGTATCGGGCATGACAGCTTCGACAGGAGGCTTGGTCTCCTCGGATGCGGAGGCCATCGCTCCGAACTTCGCTGCTTACAGAGTACGACCGCACTGACCAGAACGAATGCAATCTAGCGCAAAATCTGTCTCTCAGAAAGGACGAGTTGGACCTTGGAAGCTCTTCCAGCTCTTCCAGCTCGTCCCTCTGCAACTCGCCCACGAACCTGTCCTGACTCCTGATCTGCTACTGCAACTGCGTGTTCACTGCCCTAACTAACACTTAGAGGATGCTGGACGGCATCATTATAGTCCAGACCGTAAGCCCCGGTCAGAGCGCAACGCATACACCATACTACGCTAACGGAGGTTCGGAGTCTCCAGCCAAGTAAGCTCGACAGTGTTCGTCAACCGCATCCAAACTGGAGACGAGCGCCGTAGAGCAGCTGGCTGGTCCCAGACTGGCCATCTCGTTTGGAAGGGTCGTCGCAGTCACCTTTGCCATTCGCCATGGATCTGCTCTCAGCTCGGTCGAGAGTTCCGCCACAGACGAGCTACAACTCTAGATGGATCCTTTTCATTGTGCGCGCAGCAGCTCGTTAGTCCATGCTTCGATGTTTTCATATAGATGTGCATACCTTTTGGCTTGCTATGATCCATTTCACTCAGCACAATCGCTCGTAGAAGTCGACTGGACCTCGTTTTGCATGATTCTGCACTCACTATTTGTTCGAGATACACTCGTACAAGGTCCTCAGTCGTTCGATTTAGCGAGTGGGGAGCTCCACGGTCGGGTGATTTGTTCAGGATTCCAGTGACTGTATATGTTTGATTTCTCAGACGAAGATCACTCTTGTACTAGATGCATTGCCGTCTGGAGATTGATGCGTTTGGTCTAAGATTTCGTCCTCACATCGGTGTCCTTTGTTGTAGTTACTCGTGAACCTGTTCGTCAATAAATGGGTTGACTTTTACGTGTCAGCTTTCAGTGTAATGTGTGTCGGCCCGGAGGACTGTATGTTGTTCATGTTTTGCGATACTTTCGTTTGTCAGACAATCTCTCTCCTTCCTCGCTTCCGCACACATCGAGGCTTGTAGAGTCCAACCAGGTTCTGAAAGGCTCTTAAAGTGGAGCCGACTCCAGTTTCCGTCCTTGTCCAAAATCGAGGGAGCTCTGCATGTTGCGTGTACTTGCGAGTCACAAACCTCTGTTTACTTACTTATACAAAATGTAATTTTTTTACCTTTTTTACCTTTTTTACCTTTTTAAGTCTAATCTTGTACTTTTCACGCCCTCCTCAGTCCAAGTACACAATCGATGGAAGAGGTGGGGTTCCTTGGTTTGTGTTAGGTCCTACTGATGTATGCTGACACGTCTTTTTTTCTGTATAGTGTTTGTGCAGATTCCTCTTTTTACTGATTTTGAGACTTGATGGTCGATTTCAGATGAACTCAATGAGTGATACATCATGGACGGAGATAGAACCACTGTGGAAGGTAAAAGTTGTGCTGTACTATGTACATTCTTTGCCCACTCGGTACGCTCGATCTGGTCGTCCCCTGGAATACTAACCTCACCGTCTTCTGTAAGACGTGTTTTGAGAGTATGGGATTCCCTGTCAGACCTTTAATAAGGGGCAAAAAATTATCTGACTTTATCGGTTCGACATCAGCTCTCGGATAACCTTCTTCGTTTCCGATGGTAAAAGATGGAGTTGGAGAGAGAAGGTTACACCTCCACAGCGGTTACACCTCACATTCCTGAAACTTAGTACATACAATGCCAGTCGTCCGACATCCTTGACGACCACATTCACTACGGCTAGACTACACTAGACCCTGAATGCTTACAGAACTGAACGCAATGACGTTGAATCCGAACCTCTCCACCCTATGGTCGTATTTTTTAGAGCTCGGACGACTGCTGGGCGTGTCGATGCATGGTCTGGAAGCTTTGAGATTAGCAGCATAGTGTTCAAGCGCACCTCCATTTCCGTTGTGTCCGACAACGTTCCACTGCAAAATTTGTGTACGACAGAACTCTGCTTCCCTGAGAGGAAAATCTGCAGATAGGAATAGGACTAGCGATTCCAACTTCATGTTCTCGAGTTGCAGAGAACAGTCCGAACTTAGGCAATCTTTCTGAATTCGCTCCGCCTTACAGCATTGCCCCCAATTGTAATTGGCATGAAGTAGAGAAGCTGGGAGGTTGATAATATGGAACGATTGCACCATGAAGAGCTGTGCAGGATCATCTGCCAGGACCCTAGCAATCGTAAGAGCCTGGCCCAGGAGCATCATTGGCTGAAAATTGCCATCGTAAGCCTTTACCAAAACGAACAAATGCAGGATTCCTGTTCCTCGAGCTGGGCTGCTTGCCCTGCATCACTCGAGTTTCACCACAATCAGAGAAGAGCAACAGGGACCCTAGGGTAATAACGCAAAATCCTTGGAACAAAAAAGAGATTTGCACACGCATTGTCAGTCAAACAGCCTCAACTGACTACGTTGAGAAACAATAGACTAGCTCTTGAACTCCATCCGAGTGCGAGACTCGGTGTACGCAGAAAATATATTCAGAAAAAAAGACACATAGGATACACAAAAACAGCCTTACCATGCATCCTTTCAGCTTAATGACAGCTGGCCCCGGTGATTGGATACCATAGTTGATTTTGTCGTGCTCCATGGATATAAATACCTTCGAGAACACACACAACGTAAACATAGACAAATATCTTCATCATGTGGACAATCAAGGTACAGATTTAATTGACCTCTACAGTCAGTATGACAAGAACATGAGAGGACTTTGGCAACTCAAAATTCACCTGACAACTCATCATAAGAACATACGTAATGAATCAGAAAACTGTTGACTTACTTTATTCGCATTATCTCGCGTACAGTTTCCAAATGAGAAGGCCGGCAAAGTGTCCTTATATGCTTCATTCTGCTTTCCTATAGAACCTTTCTGATCGTATTGACCTGGTCCAGTCGTCTCTCCTGGCCTGCCCATGAGATGATACTGGAATACAACGACAAACACCGATATGTGTTCGATTAATCCATCTGGAAACTCTTTCACATCGACCTTTTGTTGCAGTCACATTTTGTCCTCATTGTTTGTGGTTAGATGATCATCCATCAAGTAGACTATCATAAAATTAGAGAAGATGGTCATCTAATCATCTTTGGTTGAGAAAAGATGTCTTCTCAACCAAATATGCACGTCATTTCCACTTTGTACAAAAATAAGGGTGCTCCACACTGGAACACAACAGTGGTGAAAGCTACAAAATGAGTTGCACACCTTGAATCGCTTGTCATGTATAAAACCGACAAGCGGAGCCGTCCTGTTTGGCGATGAGCATTGTGGACCAAATGTGGATCTTGCACCATATGCGGACGGACCTGGTGAAAGGGTCCCATATTTCGCCTTCAAAGTTACAAACGCCATAAGATAGGATGAGCGTTGACATGTTGAAAACACTAAAAAATGACAGACTACAAAAACTGATCGTTTAACTACAAAATCGTATTCGCAGATCTGTCCATTTTGAAAATGTGCACTCTGCAGCATTAGAAATTTCAATGCTAAGTCCTCTTCCATATGAGGATGCCTGTTGAGGGTGTACCTTATCGAACTCAACGCTTAGGTAAACCTCATCTCTCTGCTTCCTTGTTGAAGTCCCGAACAATGCACCTTCAGGTGACCTTTGTCTCGATGGAGCAAACTGCAATGAAGTCCTGTTAACGGATGGTCTTCATGTTTCGTCTCTTATACAATCGGCCATTGTGGATGAAAAAGGCGTACAAGTTGAAGGTTCGATTTCTGTTACCTGTGTTAAAAAGCCCGATTTCCTGTTGTAAGTTCCAGGTCCAGGAGGCTCCTCTTCTCTTCTCCTCTGAACGTAGAAGTTTACTGTTAGTTATCAGTATGTTCACAACAAAAGGCATGATGAGAACTCGAGTCACAGGATCGACAACGTACCCGGAACCACCTTGAACCAACAGGGAAGTGGATTTCAGGAGGATTCTCGTTAATAGATTTCGGCTGTTTCCCAAAAGATGACAGAGCATCGTATTGTGGACCTGCAAAGTCGTAGTTGTCTTGAATAAGCTTCTCAAGCGAGAGGTAAGAAAATTCAGAATTTGAGGCCACAACACGTGAGCAGTCAATTTGCATCAGTTAATGCTCAAAGGATACATCTTAAGCACAGGGCGTTCAAAAACGAAGGTTTTTGGACAAGCCGTGTAGGAAACAACGGTGAGGTTAACATCAACATCAACATCGGGCAAACAATATGAGCACTGAATATATTGCGCAAAGGAACTTGCGGCCAAAGATTTCTCTTACGGTTTTACAACCAAAAATTAAGAAAAAGAAAGAGCAATGTCTAGATCAATTCCTGATTATGAGAGGGATTTTTTCCGTCGGGAAAGACCAGGTGTTTATTGATAGAATCCGAGAGCATAAAAACATGTGTCATGGGTGGCCCCAGAAGATAATTTCCATGTTTTATCGAGTTAGAACTAGGATCAGCATACACATTGCATTGGAGTGAACGAGAGAAAATAGATAAATGCAATACGAACATTACGAAAAACATGGGAGTAGAGATGCATAATAGATTCGAATATGTAAGTCAAGAATTTTGAGCAGTTGAATGCATCTATGAAGGAGTAAGTCCCTCCTATTACACAAACGGGAGCGAACTAGAACGTCGACAATTTATATTGGAATTCTCAATTGCCTAAAGCTGACGGGACTATCGGTGGCGGATACAACGCATATGCTCAGGGACTAAGGTGCAGTTGTTGGTGTTTAAAGCTACTTAAACCATCTGAAATATGTCGTTACCCCAACGTAATTTATTACTGCGTCCATGCTTCTCGAAAATGAAAATCGGGGACTACTGTCTTCAGGATCTGGGTGGACATAATGTACCAGGACTGCACTTATCGACTTGCTGTTTGGCCAGTTCCGCATTGATGTACATCTGATTGAAACAAATAAATATATTAAATATTCTATTATCATTAGATACATACCGATAATATGTAGTTGAGGTATAATAGCTGTTTGTAGGAAACTCCTCTATAATTTGTTGCGACAAGCCGTGAACGAGAAGTGAAACCTCAGTTCAACTCAATTATTTGGATAGCATTCAAGAGATTTTTATAATCATGATTGGGCAGGTACCTTCTCTGCATCACTGCGAGCAGAGCTTCCAAATCCAAATGCTGGCGAACTGACTCTGTGAGATATAATCTATACAGAACCATTCCGGTCTTTGATCAGAACTTTGAGGGTTCAGAAGTTTTCTACATGTTTCAGATCGTCTTAGACCAATCGTCAATTAGTTGAAAGTCTAAGTGGTTGCAGCGTTGAATAAGAAAGCTGTCTGGGAAGCAACGTGTGAGGGAGTACAGGGTTGTATGAACTAACCTGAGTTCCAAAACCAGACTTGGTATACCTCCTCCGACCAATTGGAGGACTCCAACTACGATCGAGTTCTCGTTGGTACAACGCTGTAGCACAAGCCTTGCATTTCTCAGTAAGTAGAGGAAATAAGATCAAGAAGAAAAAGTCGCTTTTGACATGATAACTACACGTCCCTACCAGCGTAGGGGCAACTGACACATAGAATTGCACCGACAACACTGATGACCATCCACTTACCCATTTCGAAACCTGTTGAACGGAAAACTCAGAAACTCGTTGTCGTTTGCACCATTTCTTTTGGTGGGGCCTGTTTTGAAGATTCTGAAGCAACAAAGACTGCAATGGCAAACCGGTTGAGAGAATTGGTTCTTCGGATGAAGATAGGGAACGAGAACCTTGAGGCGCTACAGATGGCCTCTGGAAAGGCGAGCCGATTGAAGGCTGGTCTCATCGGTGCATATCTCACTACTACTCGGGAAATACAAACACAGCTCGAGCAATCCCCACTTCATTTTCTCCAACAAATTACAAGAATCTTAAGGAACCAAATAACGGCAGGAAATTGGACAACCGTATAATAGAGCCACGGAAGGCAGAAACGCATATTTTTTAGGCTCGGCGTACCACATGATGGTTCTCCACAATACTCTACCGAAAATCCGAGCAGTTTAGACTCAGATCGATAGAACAGAACCCAACACAATTCAACCGGACGGCAATTCTGGACACATGGCTAAGATCCCAAGATGGCGATCGCATGCGGCACGTGACGAAGGCTCTGTCTGACTTTAGTCAACATACTCAAATTTCAGCATCGGCAATGAATCGATATTTCTAGACGAAAACAGAGGGTCGGCCTCTCGGACCCTTCGTTTCTCAACTTTTTCGAACTGAGCTGTTCGTCAGCTTGCGCCAGAAATCGCCACCAAGACAGATCTCCCGGAATTCTGAGCCTAACCTGATTATCTAGGAACAGCTTCCATCAAGCGACGCTCTCTCCGTTTGTCTCTGGAGCAGAGCGGTGGGGAGACTGCGGACGGAAGAATATTCGGATGACGATGATTGATGGTGATGAAGGGGTGAAGACTTGAAAGAACTGGAGTTGGGCAGTTAGCCTCCATGCGTGACGATCCACGTCAGCCATGAAAGGTTCGTAAACTTAGGCCTCGTCCAATGCCCGATGACATTCTCTGCTCTTGATCTGTAGCGGGACTGTTCTGCTACTGTATAGTGGCCCGGTCCCGACTTCCTGCATGCAGGGTGAAGACACAACACAGACCGAAGCAAAACAACACCAGTGAGAGCGGCTGTTAGGATCATCATCCATGATATAGAGTAGTAGACGGGGAGAAGGAACTGACGGAATGTTCATCATGAATGTGTGCCCTATCGATGCACACACACTTCGTGCCAGATCCAGCCACTTGTTAAACTGACTATGAATCTTGCAACGTTGCATCATTATCATCAGCAAACTTTATACACATAAGAAACAAACAAACAAACAAACAAAGGTGTTGAAAAGATGCGTTTGTTGATGTCCTCTAAGCTCGATCATTCCGGTAGATGAGGGGGCGTGAGATGGTATCCCGAGCTTGAAAACGATGTGATTCAGTGTGCACGAGCATAATTACATCATAAGCAGCATATTGCCTAAAGTATGAAGAAACTTCAAGAAATAAGTTCAAGTCAGTAGATGCAGTATGGGGAGTCATGTCAAACAGAATGAACCGAATGATTTTAAGCAGATGAGAATCCTCAGAACGTTGGGTCTACCTGAAAAGAATGTGAACAACCAATCGCCAAAATGACAGTTCGTTTGCCTTTTGCCAGTTACAAGGACGAATTGATGAGCTTGAAATTTCGTACATGATAATAAAGTTTGTTGCACGTAAACTTATGCATGAATCAATATCAGCACTTTGTCTTAAAGTATGATCTACAGCGAACACCACGCCTTCTAATACATACCAAGTTAGATTTAAAAGACTAACTTGTATGATAGATGCGGCCGATTGTTGCTTGCACGGCTAACTGGGAGCTGCGGCTCTGAAGTTGTTTGTGAACCTCTTCTGTGCTGATGTGACCTAAAACTTTCGACGTGCTAGGGAAGAAATTCAGCCGACTAAAATTTCTTAGAAAAAGGACTTGACTTTATGAACCAAACCGGTACTTATACAAAATCTCGGTGCTCCTGTGTGCATGATGACCACAACCGAATTATTATAACCCTTTCTTGCATCGAGAAGACTTTACAAGAACGCTATAAAATCCGATATGAGAAGCAATAGTAGGAGAGTGACGGAGAGACAGAAAAGGTATATCTATATCGTAAAAGCCGAACTTGTCGGACCATTATTCAATCAATTAAACTGTTATCGAGAGAACAAAATATACCTACACATGCAAATAACAGTACCAAAGTTCTTTCAATCAGGGAGGGTTCATAGCTCCAGTGATTTCATCTTGATATATGCCTAAGAACAATCTCTTTTCTTTTCACTCTAAAGTGACTAGTGACTTGATTTCTTTCACATGACTGGATGAGACTTGCCACAATGAAATATATGGAACTCTTGTATCGGAACACGATTATCTCCAATTGACAGATAGTCATTGATAGATTGTTCGTATATTCTTCTCTATCCTTTGGGATGATCAGCTAATCTAATCTCTCTGGTCAGAGTCCACTGCGCTGGCTACTACTGGCTACTACTGCTTAAGATGCTCCGTTCATTTCCAGCATCACCGAAGAGAATGGAGAGCAAAATTCTGAAACTCCAGAGGCCAACTGCAGCGAATTGCATCATCAAAGAATTGTATTGCTTTTGCAGGTCTTAGAGTCTCCAGACTTTTCACACAAGCCTTTGATAGTTCTTATCAGTATTCCTCCTGCTGGGCAAGTGGTTTCTCTAATTGTCTTTCAGCAAGTCGGAGAGATGAGGTATTCCTGGAAGACACTTGTGGAAGTCCGCAATAAGGTTTGGATGACCATCAAGTATAACTTTAACTTGTGAGATGAGTTTTGGGACATCAATCTGTCCTGTGTTGTAATCTTTCAAAACCTCCAGAAACATGCGGTACATTGCTTTTTCCCTTTTGAAAGCATCTTGGACGCTTCTTACATAAGTAAGCGCATCTATGACGTTTACAGAAAATAGCTTCTCGGCACTCAGTATGCTTGAAAGAAGAGCAACTCCATGTAGAACTCTTTCAAATCCCAGAGTCAGATGGGGATTACCTCCAAAAAGACTATCCACTTGAGCCACCACCGCGGGAACATCACGTCGTCCATTGCTATAAGTGTCAAGTATATCTTTGAATCTTTGATACTTGTCGTCGTCAGTCTTGACAGTGTCAACGACTCTTTTGAGGTAACCAAGAGCATCATCTACTTCTTCATCCAAGAGGCGACTTGAATCTAATTCACTCAAAATTAGAGCAGCTCTTGGAAGGTGCTTCTGAGTTTCCTGAATTAGCTGAGGATGGCCTCTGAAAAGCTGCTGCAGATTGGTCAGAAGCATTGGCGTGTCAATTTCCTTCCTCTTATAATTGTCCAAGATCTCAACAAACAGATGGTACTTGCCTCTGTCATCATGGAATGCCTCCTTGACACTCCTTGCAAATGCCAGAACCTCATTCATATGATCCTCATCAAAGAGTTCCTTGATATCTATTTCGCTTGACAGGCCAGATAGCTTCATGAACATTTGTTTGAATCCTGGAATCAACTGTTGCTGACTTCTGAACAGAGAAAGTGTTTGAAACACCGCCTTCTGGACGTCTATCTGTCCTCTCTTGAACTTGTCCAATATATTCAAGAATGTCTGGTACCTGTCCAAATCATTTCTGAAAGTTTCCCTAACAGTCTTCAAATAGGCCAAAATCTCGTCCCCATAAAGATACGGAAGCTCATCATCTCCTATCCTTCCTGCCATCGTCCTTCCGAAGATACACGTGCAGAGGGTAGACTAAATGATTTCCACGAAGACCACGACCGTCTATGCTACTCTCTGTCACTTCACAACCTTCCCATGCATGTACTTCATGCAAACCGTCGTGAAAACGATGATGGTGTTGTTTTGAGATGCGATCCCATGAGGGGAGCGAGAGGGTCGGGGGAGAGTACATTTGGACACGATGTTGTACTCTGCTGAACTTCCAGACTGAGATTGCGAACTCTGTAACAAAATTTATGCGAATTTCCTATTGAATCACTACAAGGATTCAAACAAACAATAAACAAGGAATAACCTCAGGCCTCCTAAAATTCTGCATTTGTCGAATAGACCTAAATTAAGGTAAATTGGCCCACAGCTAAAGTTAAATTCGGCATCTCCAATTTAAAATGGCGTAGGCCCCAAACAAACTATAGATGAATAATACAGGTAACTATGAAGCTTTATGAATTTCCAGTTTGCCTGCATCAAAAGGTCCGCTTGCTTAGATTGCAAGATGACTTGCACAGAAAGGTTTGTCAGAGACTTGCGACTTGGACTCTTTGACTACAGTCCTTCTCCAAAGAGATTGTGTTGGGGAATGCAGTGGCTATATTGCTTGCGAATCATCGCAAATCTGTGTAATCTGGTCACATGTCTTCCCAAACATCATTCAACAAGGTAGGGTGGTCATGCTAATCAATCTTGGTAATGATGTTAGATTCTCCAAGGGCAATGTAATGATCACACAACTTCATATGCTGCTTCTCAATATTTTCAATCTGTTCTTCACTATGATACTCAACCATGCCTTCTGGACGTTTGTCCACAATGCTTGAAATGAAATTCACCAACTCTCCCGGCATCATCGAATGGAGTATGTCACCTAAATTTGCATTCTAATGATCATAGTACCTCTCAACCTCAACATTGTTCAACCCATCAATTACTTTGATAATGAACTCGGCATTCTATAATAACATGTCTCTTATTTTATCCAATGATTGCAGTAAATTTTGTGACCGAGAAACTTGATCGTCAATGAGCAATATAACTGAGTATAATGTCAGCTACCAATTCCCGATCTTGAAATACTTTGTTGCTTGCGTAGACAAAAATGAAGTGTTGATGTCAACATTTTTCACTTCCATTATTGGCACAAATCCACAACCAGAGTGCTGATAACTACCTTCTGCTGCGAAAGTAGCATGTGTTGAATATGAGTACTGGTGACGGTAATGCCAATTCAGGCATAAAAGGGTTCAATAGTTGCAGCAATGACCCACCAAATAAGAGTGGATGCTTGCACAGGCTTTTTTGCATCAATATGCCGCAATAATTGAATAAACTCCTAAACATTGCCAAATGCAGTCCAACGAGTTGTATATTTAGGATTTTTTTATCCATTTTAGTGATCAAATTTTTCTCCGCAAGTAGAAGAACAGAGAAAGCATGAACGACTTTATAGAACATCTCATCGTTCTAACCACTTGACCGTGAGATCAATTCCATCCAAAGCACACAACCTTGAGAATTGCATGGGTGTTTTCTTGCTGCAGCAAAGTTTCAACTCCATCTTGACGTCCGGTCATTGTATTTTCTCTATTGGTAGCCACTTATAAAAGTTTATTCCTCCATGATGCATGTAAAGCATCCATTGGATCCATAATTAATTTGATTCTATTAATAGATGTGTGCTATCCTTTGAATGACGTTTAGTAGTAAATTAGTTATTTGAACGGTGCAGCTACAAAATGTAAATTCAACTTCATGATGACATATTCAAATTTGAATATCAATTGATTTGTTTTGCTTCAAAACTAGAGGAATTTTGATACAAAATACTTGTGAGAATGGTGATACTCAATACCCAAGGGCAGTTTTGCAGTACCAAAACAATATACGAATGTCTTACTGACTTTCAAGTAAATTGAACATAGGTACTTTAAATATGGCATTAAAATTTAAACTTATAAAATGACATTTATTTTTTAAATTCCAGTTTTTAGAAGGTTTAGCTAAGCTAGATGTTCATTGGAGTTACATGAAGCTATAAATGTCTGTATATCTCTACATTTTTCAAAATTTTGACAAATTTTTTCACATTATTTTCATTTATCAAATCTATTACACAAAAATGATAACTAAGATTCTCTATTAGTTAGTTCATATGCCAAGAGCATTTTGAATTAAAAGTTTGCTATAGACTCATTAGGGTACAATGTAGAAATTATAATTAAGCACGTTTTGAATGTTCAAAGTGTTGATAAGTATCTTCAACACAACATTGTGTAATAATAACTTAAAATTTGAAAAGATACAAAGAAATATAAAACATCAAGAGTTTTGCTTGATGAACGGGAGATTATTACATGAAAATGAAAATAAAAGTTAACATCAACCTTCATAGTTATTGCTAACAAGTTATATGTTGATGAAGAAATCTTATGCAAAAATGATAATCTCTCTATACCTTTTTTTAATTATATATTATTGCGCAATTTGAAGTTCTAAAAAGCAGATTTTGTTTTTTTTTCAACAAGCCAGATACAAATTTATCAATAATGAAGCATTTTTAATTAAAAAATTATATCTATTACTAATTTCATGTCTAAATAAATTATAAATATTTGATTGATATAAAATTCAAAAACATAACTGATTCCAAATTAAAAATTTGTCATGTTCATTTATGATGTAACATATATCTGATCAATTTAAAATTGTTGCTTTATCTTTTATCTCATATTCATAATATGTATATTACAATTTATTGAAATGTTGTAGATGTTAGAAGTAAATTTTAATCTTGATAAAATTTAGCTTATTGGACATGATTAGTCAGATTATTCAGTTTGTAATTATGAATAAAATCTTGCAGTAAATCTTTGTTACAAAATTGAAGGTTTCAATTTTTGATTCTATGTGTCCAATGAAATAGTTTTACTGAAATGAATCCAAAATATTGTGTTGCTTTTTGAAAATTCATGTTATGTAACTCCATATGTTAATCTTAACCAACTAGTTGATTCTCTAAAGAGATTGATATACAATGACACTCTTCAATGAGGATTGTAAATTTTGCAACAAATTATTGTCATATAACTACTAGATAAAAAAACTACATAAAATAGTTGTGGATGAGTCAAAGTTTTCAACTATCGTGGGTACAAAGAAGCACAAAACTATCTAAAATATTGCTATGAAGATGCTTAAAATAATAATAAAAATAATTTATGAAGATATATTTAGTAAAAAAAATTGATTACATTACATTGATTTATTGATACACAATGAACTGATGGAAAAAAAATTCTACAAAGATCTTGGGTTTAATGAGAAAAAATTACCAAAAAGATGTTAGAACTTGTAAAATTACTACTACAAAGATGCTCAGATAGGTGATAAAATACTGCCTTAAAGATTCTCAAATCAATGGGATAAAAATTTTATAAAATTGATTACATGAAAAGTAAATTATTGCTATAAATAAATTCAAATAGTACAATGACTAAGAGGTTTAAAATCCAAAAGAAGTCAAATACAAATAACAAAAAGACAAAAACCCTATTAATGAGAAAAACATAAAATTGCCTTATAAAATATTAAGATTCAAGGGATGAAAAAATATTTCATGATAGAATTTAGAAAATTTTTGGAAAACATATCAAAAAAATTTAACATCAAAAGATTGTTGAAAAATTAAAGAAAATTGGTTAAAAAATGAAAAAGCATCTGGCGTGAAAGTGACAACATTATTTAAAGTTAATAGTGAATGATGATATATTTTAAGCAAAATTTTAACCAAATAACATTTACAATGTGCAATTTGTGCTATGCTAAAGTTTCAAATGAATTGTTTGTTGGAGTTTATGTAGCTCGTAGTTAAGACTTAGAGTGTCTTTTGAGAGTCACCAAGAAATTATAGTGTCATTTGAGAGTCATCAAGGGTTAGAGTGTTACTTGAGAGTCACAAGGGATTAGAATGACCCTTGAGAGTCATCAGGGTTACAGTGACAGTCATCAAGTTTTAGAGTGACACTTGAGAATCACTAAGAGATGTGCAATCAAGCACTATAAGCAAAGGACTTTGAAAGAAGCTCACATCTCACTCCATTCATTGTTAGATCATACTTCTCTTTAGTTTTCTACTTTAACAGGTTATGGGCCCACTCATGTGAGTTGCAAGTAAGAGTTCTTTGGTTGCTAAGTAGTTTGGAGGAGGTCTTGTGGGGCATTGTGTGAGATGGATATATCTAAGATGGAGATGATGTTAGAGTTCATAGACCTTTGAGAAATTGTAGAAACCACGGAGAAGCCTCCATCAAATGAAAACGACAATGCAAAGGGCATCAAAAAAGATCCAAAAGCTATCAAGGAGTACAATCGCCGTGTAAAGAAGACAATGTCTGTGATAGTGCTCACTTTGGTTGACAACCAACTTGCCCACATCAAGAATTGCAAAGGACCAACAGGAGCATGGAAGATATTGTGCAACATCCATGAGACAAAAAGCTTTTCTAACATTCTTTTTATTCATCGCAAGTTCTTTACCATCAAAATGCAAGATCCTGATGACATGCTAATCCATATCAACCATATAAGAGACCTTGCGGATCAACTCAATTGTTTGTATGTATCTGTAAAAATTGATGATGTTGTTATATCCAGGCTTGAGAGCTTGCCGCCATCCTTTGAAAACTTGATCACTGCTTTACAGTGAGTGCTCAGAAAACAATGATATGAATGAATCGAGAAAAGCTTCAACTAGTAAGATACCTGAAAACAACTAAAACAATGATGTTTTAGATTGTAATCACCAAGCTCAGAGCATCGATGACCAGTTTGTGAGCTTGGAAGTTCAAATTCGTTGACCACTAAGATTATTTTGAACCAATCAGAACTTTATCGAGATGATTGTTGATGTTAACTCTGGTTAAGGAGCTAACTGAGGTTAGTTAACCAAGGTTAACTGCATATGTAGCTATTTATAGCTTAGA